GGCCACAGGAAGCATTACTAAAGCCCCTCTTCTAGAGATCTCATCACCCCCTCTGATTTCTCTCCTTTTCTCACTACTGGTTCTGGTCCCATTTTCCAGAGAAAACGGAAAGCTTCTATACAACAAATATCACCATAAAAAAAAAACATATGATTTGGGACCAGCCTGTGAAGTCTGTGTCCTAGCCCCTCCCTCACTGGCTTTCTGATTGACAATACGTTGTTGAACTTCCTGAGCTTCAGTTTATCCATACATAAGGGGCGGGCAGACCTCATCACTGGCCGTGTAAAGTCAATTATTCTGCTAGAAGTTGCGCCTGAGCCCTGCCAAGCCACAGAAAGTGTGCTGGAATTGCTAGAGAGAGTCATCTGCAGAAAGCCCCCCACCCCCGGGACCTGGACTCTTTCCCCCTTTGCCCAGGCCTCATGCCATAAAATCCTAGCAAGCTTTAATCATAGTATCCATGCCTTTTAAGTAAAGAGTATATTTTTGACATAAAATGCTGACCATATAGGAAAGTATCAAGGGTAAAATAATGCATGATCATGTACTTCCCTTCTGTCCTTAGACCTTACTTTTGTGTCGTGTTTGAGTCACAGTTTTAAAAAGAATTTAAGCGTTACGATTTAGAGTCATTTTAATGTTCCCTTCTCCCTTGAAAGCACATGTGGTATCTGTAAGTAATATGAGATAAATTGCAAAGTATTAAACTTTGTGGCCATGATATCATACTGTATTCAGGATAGCTCTGCAGTCAACATATTCACTGAGTATGGGTATCTTTCCTCATTCAATGTTCTATCTTTGAGCTTTGCTCATGCAGAAATACATATACAGGTTTCTGTAGACCCTTTGTCAGCCTAGGGGACTCTTTATTTTCAGTGTGCTGAGTCTGTCAAAGATGAGTATGGTCTTTTCTGTGTCTATGAATGTGTTACTTTTCCATAGCTGGTTGATATGGCGGATTACATTTGCGATTTTCAGTAACGAGTTGCGCTTGTGTTCTTCACGTTACCTTCAGTTGATTGTGAGAAATTAATTTTTCTATTGGTCTGTATTTGATTTACGGATACATTTGTTTCATTTTGTTGTATGTATTGGGATAATGCCGACAACATAAAATGTATTGAAGATGCCCTAGTCTCTACCTTGTCTCCTTTGCTAGACAAAGATTTCCTGAAACACAGCCATTCCCATTCATTTGCATTTTGTCTGTAGCTGTTTTTATATTACAATGACACAGTCTAAAATACTGTCTGTGTCTTTACCGAAAAGGCACATCAGAGCCTGATCCGGCTTCGTGTTCCTCATCTTAGTTACCTGGCCTTTTCTAGGCAATTGTTTATTTCTGTTATTAGGTCTTTCAGATATAAGATTTCCAGTGTGTGTGTGTGTGTGTGTGTGTGTGTGTGTGTGTGTGTGTGTACATGCCCATATAAACATGTGAATGAAGATACACATGCATTGAGTCAGGACAACTTCAGGCACTAGCCATTGCCTTCTATGTTTTCAAAGTCCAGTCTCTTCCTTGCTTATTCCATGCTAGCTAGCCCCCAGCCTCCAGGATCTTCCTCTTTCTACCACCCATCCTCATGCTTGAGAGAGCAAAGATTACAGACCCTCACGCTATGCATCCAGCTTTTTGTGGGTTCTGGAAAATTCAATCTCAGGCCTTTATGTTTAGGTCACAAGTGTTTTTACACACCTGAGCCATCAGCAGCCCCCAACCCCGCCTCTGTTTTTTAAATAGCTTCTATTTCTTAACTGATAACTCCTGTTTCTTTCCCTTGGTCAGAAATACATCTTTCCTTCTCTAAGTTACTCTCAGGTGTCTGTCAAGGGGGTAAGAAATGTAAATAACTCGGTGTTTTTGTGTCAGGAGATAAAAGCATCATGGCCTTCTGCTCTCTTTGCTCTTCACAAGAAATTAATCCCCTCTCCCATTTATCTTTCTACTTCCATCTACCCCATACTAACCATCAAGACCACTGGGCTTGTTTCTTCAGGCCTACCGGCCCAACTGCAGGAGCACCACCGCCGCCACCACCATATCCAAACTCACCTGCCCAATCCCCTATAGAGGACTTACAAGAACAAAAGTCTTGCTATGCACCTGGGTTTCCCTTTACCCACAGGGCCAAATGTCAGCTACTCCACAGGACAGAGATAAAAATAGAGCCTGCCAGGCCTGCCCACAGCTGTAGCTGCTGCTTCCTCTAGCTGTGGGTTCTATTCACACCTGTACTCAGAGACATCACCGGGTTGTCTCTCCCAGGGTGCTGGGCATCTTCACACCCCGCCTTCCTCTCACTTTTGTGTTTGAAATAGCCGGTGGTAACCCCTTCTCGGTCCTACTCTGGAGCGCTATTTCTAAGATTTCAAGGTGAAATAGGAGGCTCCGTCTGAAGATTCATAGCTACTGTGAACCAACACCTGCACCTCTGTTAAGGACTCAGTTCTCCCGTTGACCTCATTTTACAGGCAGTAAATGCTCAGAAATACGGAGTGACTTTCTTAATACATGGGTAGCAAACAGCAGAAGCAGGATTTGAGCTCAGGGGCTTGACAGCCCAGCTGCTGAGCCACAGTCCGTCTGGTTTTGAAGACAATGCTACAGTCTGGGCTGTGTCACATTCTGGCTTTGTGACCCTGAGCGAAGTCCCTCTTCATTCTGAGTCTCCATTTCATCTTTATAAAAGAAGGTGGCAGGAGACGATGGATTCTCCTTGTGAGAATACATGGACACCCTCTGACGTGTCCACAAGGCCGAACCCTGGCTCTCTGACAAGCATCCCCAAGTCAGAACACTGACGATCCTTTCTCTTCTCACTAGCATTTTTACACCAGTCTCCAGATGAGCACACACCTCTGTCAGGTGTGCTGTCTGGACTTATTTCTGGCTTCTCCATCTCATCCTGGACCCAAAAACCCATTAGGAGAAGTGAGATGGCAAATCCAAACATGATTTTCTCATGGAATCACACTCAATTCGCTTCTTTCCTGATGGACCACGAGTCAGTCCATGTCCGACTCTTCATCACAATGTCCCTGTATATCCAATAGGAAGAGTGTTGTAAGGAGACAGAGGCCCCTTCCATGCCTAACCCGTTCTACAGTGGGGCATTGCCCGAGGGAGAGCTAGTTGGTAAAAGTGAGCCATCAAACAAAGCCCCATTCTCCAGGGAGACCCTGCCCTAAGTAAATTCGGGGTGCCTGTTTTGGAATCACTGGCTATTTTCCCAAGTTCAAAGGCAGACTCTGATGCAAGTTCCCCAAAAAGCAGGGTCTTATCTTTGAGGAGAGAAGGAGAGGGGAAAATAAGAGCCATGTGAGGACCTTCTGCTGAGTGCAGAAGCTTGGTGCTCTTCAGCGTAGCCCACCCTCCTCTGTTAAGTGTGCTCATAAGCATTGATCCTAACCTCTCTGGGTGCAGAGTTGTTCCAGATTTTATTGCTGTTCTCGAAACTTGAATGCTGGCCCTGACGGGGAGCTCACTGCTTTCCAGATGCATGCATGTTACAATCTAACACCCACTAAGCATCTGCAGCTTCCAGTATCCTCCAAGCTTTGCCATCCCAGCAGCCTCTCTCCATAGTGTTTCTCGGCCCTTTCAGTCACCTATGAAAGGCAGTTCACATCTCCATCGCTGTTGCTAAAACAACCCCCATAGAAAGTTCTCTGTGACTACCCAACTCTATGAGGCCAGAGCATTTCCATTCCCCGAGCTCCGTTCATATGGGAATACTAAACAACTTTATGTTTTACCAATTGGTCACTGTTACCGGAGGTCCTCCCACTCCTCCAGCCTATCACCGCTGAGAGACCAGCCCGGACTTGATTCCAGTTTCTCAGGAGCAAGGACTGTCCCTCTTAACATTTGTGCTTCTAGCCCCTCAGCCAGGTCGGGTACCATGGGAAAAGTCATGGCTAGAGAGGGCGGAGCAAAGATGCCCTAGACTATGGAGCTGAGGAAGAACCATCAGAAGTGTAGCCATAATCGGAGCTCCCAGCGGTTCTCAACCAGTGGGTCGCAGCCCTTTTCAGAGAGTCAAATGGACCCTTTCAACAGGGGTCACTTAAGGCAATGGATTGCTTGCCCACATGTCCACTTAAGGCTCTTCCCACAATCACAAACAGTGTTGACCATGACTCCAGCAGTCACCTGGTTAATACTAGGCTTGTTTTCTAGAACACCTACAAATGGATCTATGTGGAGGGCCTGGGTTGCTCGTCTCGATTTGTGACAACCCAGAAGAGACACCCAAACCACAGAGCCCCGTAGCTCTATCTTGTTCAGCTTCTGTGTCTTCCCGGTCCTTCTCTAGTCCCCTGCCTCTCGACAGGTGGCTCTCAAGAGCATTTGCCTATGACCTGTCCACAGGCAAATATCTGCACTGAGTCTGCTCCTCAGACGTAAGACAACCGGTTCCATGCATCGCTCTGCCCCAGGGTCTGGGTCACCTGAAAGCTAGCTGGCCATGAGACTCCTCGCTGAGCTTGGAAGGGAACTGAGAGCATGTGGCACATAGGAGTGAGACGCAAGGGCTGCATTCTTGGGTTGAGTATAGTAAAAGAAAAGGTACCCATAGCTGCAGGGCTTCAGGGTATCAGATATTGGAGAGGTGAAGGGAAAGAAGGAAGGAAGGAAGGAAGGAAGGAAGGAAGGAAGGAAGGGCAAAACTATTGAATAAGATGACTACTGAAATAATAAATAAATAAATAAATAAATAAACCAGTCACCACTAGTTTCAGACTAAATGTGGAAGTCAGAGGGCCTCCTTGGCAGCACGCCAAGAACTGATTTCCTGCAAGGAGACAAGGAAAAGCTGCGGACTGAGCCTAGAACTTGCTCATCAAGGTATCACAATTTAGAGAATTAGAGATCAGATCAGATTCTTTGGCTTTATGGGGGTGAATCTAGCCAAACATGACCATTTGCTGAGTCTTTTTCAATTATTCTTCCTTTCTCTTTCCCACTTTGCGTATTTTACTTATTGTAGGCATGCAGCGTGATCTGCATGATCCCTACGGTCATCCTACTGCTGTGTCTCAGGGGGCCTCGCTAGCTGTTAAATATGATGCCGAAGAACACGCTCTCCACGTTCCGACATCTGTTCCTGCTCTCCTCCTGCACCTTCGGAACCTGTTTCCAACACACTCTTGGCTTCTGTCACTCAGGTTGGTGAAGTCCTTTGCTTCTTTAGGGTCTAGTCCCTTCCTTGACAGGTTATGTTGTATTTGGTCTCATGACTTAAGGGAGATGTAGCAATGTTCTTTGCCAGGTTGAGCTTCCCTCATCATCTTTAAACAAGATGAAAGAGTTATCCTGAAACAGAGAAGATCAGCTTCTGCTGCCGGGAGAAACAGACAGAACCAGATCAAGATTGGCAGGTTCTCAAATTCTCAGGACTTCAAACCCAATGTCCTCTCCCCACGCCTCTCAAGCAGGGTCTTAGCCTTAGCGATGCCATGGTGGAAATTCTTTAATCTCTAATTCTCTAAATTCTGATACCCTGATGAGCAAGTTCTAGGCTCAGTCCGCAGCTTTTCCTTGTCTCCTTGCAGGAAATCAGTTCTTGGCGTGCTGCCAAGGAGGCCCTCTGCCTTCCACATTTAGTAAAGATGCTCTGAACATACCTGGAGCATAGGGGACAGTGCTGAACTTGTAACATAGCTAGTCCTGCTCCATAAGACTATGTGTGGAATACTGTGATTGCCGAATAGTGATTCTGATTTCTAAAAACACAGGACCCAGATGGATGCATCTCAATGGACACAACTCTTTTAAAATGGCTCAGTGGAAGACTCCAGATATCCACCAATCAAGGAAGAAAAATCAAGATACGTGGAGTCACACAGACCTGGATTTAGGTCTGGATATGATGTAATTTCTCTTAGAGCCTGTAAGAACTTGGGAAAATGTTCTAAGATCTTTGGGTGCTAATTAGCTCACCCGTAAAACTCAGATGGTGATATGCTCTCCATTTACATTAAGGTGAGACACAAACAAAATGCCTAGTTCAGTAAATGAATTGAAAATGCTCCAAAAATAACTTTCTTCTCACATGTTTCTGTTAGGCTCAGCCAACTCCTTTATATGAAGAAAAATAAGAAAAGGTGTCTTCCTCCTTCTCCCTGTACTTGTTCTTTCTCTGGATTATTTACTGGGCAGAGCTGGAGCAACTGTTCCAAGCCACTCCTTTTCCCCAATGGCTCTTAAAGCCTTGACTGTTTTCACATGCTCTCTGCAGCTATCTGGGGTGAGGACCTGCTCCTTTAGGGGATGTAGAAGATCGTAACTTTGGTTCTGAAATTGCTAAGAGTGCTAGAACCACTGCCACATCTCTGGAACAGGCTTTTATCTTTAGGACATGATAGATGGTCTTGAAGAATTGACCCTCGTAGGGATGCCTGAACAACACACTCCAAATTAAATAGGAAAGAAGATTGATGTTGTTGAGAAACACAATGGTGATCTCCTCCAGAAAATCATCAAGCAGTACATTATGTTTTCTGTGTGTCAGACACAGACACTGGGCAGTGTGTCAGGGAGATATAAAATTATATCTAACAAACAAAACAAAACCAAAAAAAAAAAACCAGAAGCATTATTTCTGGCTGAAGAGAGAAATGAGCTTAGCAGAGAGACTGTGGAAAGATGTGCAAAGGCATGATTATGAAAACACAAAGTACCATTCAGAACACAAAGAGCAGCACCAAAATTCAACAGAATGATTATAGCAACACACATATTGTAATAATAACTGTAAATATAAATGGACTCAAATCTCCAATAAAAAGACACAGACTGTCCAAATGGATCAAGAAACAAAATCTAGCTGTTTATGAGAAACACATCTTAGTTTTATATGGGCACTGCCTTAAAGCAAAAGGATGAACAAAGTTACTGCAGTCCAATGGGACCAGGAAGTAAACAGGTTTTGTTATTTTAATACCTGACAAAACAGAGACTTGATGCTAAAACTAATCACAATATATAAAGAGGCACGCTTCATTTTACAAAAGGAGACATTAACCAAGAAGACAATACTATCCTAAACATTTATGCACGGAACTCTGAAACACCTAATTTCATTTAAAAAGTACTTTTGAATTTAATACACAGATTTATTGTGAATGGTTTCAGTCCCTCACTTTCTCTAACAGAAAGGTCATCTGAGCAAAAGTAAACAGAAAAGCATCAAAATTAATTGACATCATATATCAAATGAACTTAGCGGCTATGTATAGAACATTCCACCCAAACTCTGAACAGACATTCTACTTAGCATAAAAAAAAACTTTTCTAAAATTGAACACATCCTGGGACATAAAACAAATCTTTATAAATTCAAAAACAATGAAATAACCCCCTATGTTCTATCTGATTACAATGCTATACAATTAAAGTTGACAGAGGGAAAATCTCTTGTTAATACCCAAGTCATAGCAACTAAGCAACTCATTACTCAATAATGAATGGATCAAAGAAGAAAGCAAGAAAGAAATTTAAAAAAAAACTGAAACTAAATGAAAATGAAACCGCAATACAATTAAAACTCTAAGACACACTGAAAGAAGTCCTACGAGGGAAACTTATAGCGCTAAGTGCTATAAGTTTCTAAAAGAAATAGAAAGAACACAAACAAATGGCTAAATGATACAAGTCAAAGAGCCAAAAAAAACAAAAAACAGAAACAAAAACCAAGAACAAACCAAATCCAAACCCAATCAATGGAAATAAATAATAAAAAACAACAGATATCAATGAAACAGAAACAAAAAATAATACAAAGAATCCATGACTATAAGAGCTGACTCTTCGATAAGATTAAACAATACTGACAAATTGTTGACCCAACTAATCCTAAGAAATAGAGGAACCAAATTAGCAGAATTAGAATTGAACAGAGAAACATTACAACAGACTCTAAAAAAAATTCAGAATATTTTAATGGAATATTTTAAAAGCCTGTACTCTATTAAGCTGGAAAGCCTAAAAGAAATGGATGAGTTTCTAAATTCAGCTAAACCACCAAAATTAAACCCAGAATAAGTCAACAACACAAATAGATTCATAACAAATGAGGAGATTAAAATAGTAATAAAAATCCTTCCAGCCTAAAAACATGCCCTGAGCCAGATGAATTCATAACAGAAGTATACCAGATTTTCAATGATTTACAGTCAATATTTTTTCCTAAACCATTCCAGCAAAGTGGAATAGAAGGCATGCTCCCAAACTCTTCCTATGAAACCAGTATCACTCTAACACCAAAACCAGGTAAAGACACAACAAAAAAGAAAGAAGGAAGGAAAAAAGGAAGGAGAAAAGAAAACTAGAGGCCAATATTCCCAATGAATTTAGGCTTAAAAATGCTAAATAAAATACTTCAAACAGAAGACAGACATACATCAGAAAGATTATGCATGATGAAAAAGTTGTCTTTATCCATGAACTACATGGGTAGTTCAATATGCACAAATCATTAAATGCAATAAGCCAACATAAATAGAGTTAATATCAGATCATCTCAATAGCTGAAGAAAAAATCTTCAAAATTCAACATGACTTCTTGATAAAAGTCCTAGAGAATGTAGGGAAAGAGGGAATATATCTCCACATAATAAAAGCTGTTTATACGAAACCATTAGTCAACTTTATTTTAAATGGAAAAAAAGTTTGAAGCAATTCCACTGAAGTCAGGAAAAGACAGCAATGCCCACTAGCTGAAACAAAAGGAAAGAGAAAGAAATTAAGGGGATAAAAACAGAAAAAGAACACTTCAAATCATCCCTGTTAGCTAGTGACAGAATATAACACATTAGAGAGCCAAAAAAATTCTACCCGAAAACTTCTAGAAAAGATAAATTCAGCAACATGGAAAGGTACAGAATCAATTTGCACAAATCCATAGCTTTTCTATACACCAACAAACATGCAAAGAAGGAACCCACTTACACATTCCCACTCACAAGAGTCTCAAAGAAAAAAATCTGGAATAAACCTAACGATAGAAGTAAAGGACTTCCACAATCGAAAACTTTAAACTTCTGAAGGAAAAGATCAAAACACTAGAAAATTGAAAGACATCTAATGCTCATGGGTTGGTAGAATTAACATGGTGAAATGATTATTTTACCAAAATCTGTTTACTAACTCATTACAAATCCAATCAAAACTCCCTGTCACCACCACAGAAGCAGTAAAACTATCCTAAAATTCACATGAAACTTCGAAAGTTCCTAGATAGCAAAAACAACCAATGTTGGAGAGATTGCCAGTATAGACCTTAAGATACTACAGAGGTAATTTGCTACCCACATAAAAAACAGATATATAAACCAAGAAAAGAAATCAAATACCAAAGTATGAGTCTACACACCTTCATAGTTGGCAAAGATAGATACCAAAAGCATAAGCTGAGGAAGAGAAAGTATCTTCAACAAATGATCGGAAAATGGGATGTTCAGAAGCAGAAGAAGGAAATTAGACCGTGTCTGTCACCTTGGACAAAAACTAACTCCAAATGGATCAAAGACCTAAACATGAAACCTGAAACACTGAAATTACTAGGAAACAAAACAAAAACAAATAAACAAACAAAAACCATACACAGAATCTTACAGGTATATAACCTTACAGAATATGGGTTTAGGAAGAGACTTTCTGAATAGGAACTTCCAACAATTGACAAGTTGAACTTTATAAAACTACAAAGCTTCTAAACAGCCAAAAAAAAAAAAAAACAGTTGAAGAGGACACCCACAGAATGAGAGAGAATATTTACCTGCTATACATCTGACAGAAGAGAAATACCCAGAATATACAAATAACTTTTTAAAAAAAAAAAAGTCAGAAAAACAAAAGACACATGAAAAATGGGCCTGAGACATAAAAACAGTTCTTAAAATAAAAGAAAAAATGGCTAAAAAAATAGCTCAAAAACTCTTCATCATCCCTAGCAACTAGGGAGATGGAAAACAATGTGAAGATTTCATCTTACAGCAGTCAGAATGGTAAAGGCCAACACAAATAAACTGACAAAAAATGCTGGAAGGGATGTGCCAAAGGAGAAGCTCTCACTCGCTGTTGCTGGGATGTTAAAATGGGCAGTCGCTATGGAAAGAAGTGTGGAGCTTCTCAAAAAGCTAAGACAAATCTACCGTATGCTCCCTCTGTGCCACTCCTTGGTATATGCCCAAAGATTCACAAACATCCACAGATATTTGCTCGGCCATGTTTACTACTACTCTAGCCACGTTAGTTAGGAAATGGAAACAACCTAACTGTCCTTCAACCAGTGAATAGATAACGAAAATGTGGTATCATGAACTTTACAGGTAAATGGGTTGATCATATTGAGTGTCAGAACCAGAGCCAGAAAGACACCTGTCTCTTGTTCTCGCTCACAATCATCAGAGACAAGTACATAGCCTGTAGTAACTACATAAACCAGGAGAGTAAAATGGGACCATTGACAGCATAGGGGTGTTGGAAAGCCATAGAGAGGAAGATGGTAGGATACAAGAGATCTGGTCAGGGAAATGGAAAGAGAGGTTCTTTAACAATGGGGGAGAGATGTTAATACAGAAGGAGGGATGAGGGTAAAATAAGAATAAAAATGTCTGAAGAAGTCATAAGGAGGGGTGTATGGAAAGGCTTGGAGAGAGAAAAGGAAAGTGAGAAATATTGAAATTATGATCTCAAAAAGAAAAAAAAATAATAAGAGACTTTTCAAAGGCAAAAACCTGTTTTCAATTTCTTTGTGATTCCCCAAAGTAAGTTAGCATAATGTGTATTTGATAGCTGTTCCCAGTGAACAGTCACCTCTGTAGATGTATCCCTCTTATCTTTCCTTTTCAAGAAAAAATATACCAGAGTAATGGAAGTTTAAAAAAATAAAGGAACCTTTACCTAACATGTCAGCAGCTGCAACCACTACCCAATAATAGCAACAGCTCACAAGTGTTTCCTCTTCTCTCCAAGCACCTTCTACATCCCTGAGAAGGGAAGAGAGTAAGTGAAGCTGTGTTCCCAGAG